ATAGCCAGCGAGGAAGAATAAACCGACTCAAACAAATAGCGCGCACGGTGATTATCTCTTAATTTACGACTACAACAAGTATAAACGCGCCCATTTCGTACGCACGTTACGCGCCGCAGGAAGACGTACGTTAAATGAGGGAATAAAAATAAAATAAAGCATTTTTAGAGGTGCATCTCTCGACCAAAACACTCGAGACTCAGGCACACCACGCGTTTGTACTAATATTTAAATTGTTTTACCAGTTTTACGTTCAACGTTTCCAAAGCGCAATTGTAAGCTTTACCCAAATCTGATTCAACCAAGTGTACTCGCAAAGTGAGTTATCTCAGGTTTTGTTAGCGTTTACAATGAGTTTATTAAAGATACAGTGCAACACTAGGTGGAAGTTTGTGTATTATGAGGAGGACCTTTAATTAGCTACTCTTTTACACTAAATATTTATAGCCTAATGGCCGCCATTAATTAAACAAACGCAGCGCGGCGCGCACAGAACGAAAACTTGTAAATAAATCATTGCGCTGTTTTGTATTACATAAAACTCGCTGTGCTCACACGGATGGTATCCACCCACTTGAACTTGCTTTAGATTTTGACTTAACTTAAGCCAAAACATTAACAATCACGTCGTTTTTATTGTTATCCAAAGTATACAAATAAATTAATAAATTTTCACTTTTTTTGTTTTTCGTAAATTGTTATGCAGCATGTTCATGTTCAGCATGTGAGAATGAGAATATTCATGTGTTCGGTGTGTGTGCGTGCGTTCATAATACATATTTTATTCGGTTTTAAAGTTGATTACGGGCCGGCGAAGGCGCGCAGTCGGTCAGCGGGATGCGGCGCCCCCCGTCGTGCGGCGCGCCGCTTATCTCCCGGCCATATCGGGGCCGTTATAAGCATGGAGTCCGTGTCCGAGTCGGAGAAGAGCCGCAGACCAGAGGAACACAACACACAACACACGAAGGAGCGAGCCGCGCGCACGCGGTTATTTATGGTTGAGTCGGGCCGGTTCATTAAGGAACACATTACCGCACCGGTTCCAGCGCGATTGATTGGCTCACGGGGAGGGAAACCAGCACCCATGCATGTGAGACCTAACAAACACGTAGGTATCAAATAGCAAAAAGTTTGGATCAAAACTAAACAAATTTTTAGATATTTCTGTACAGAATCCTTTGGATTAGTCTTTATTTGTCTTCCCTAGGTTCAATCATGAGTATATCCAGTTATTTTTGTGAGGTACCAAATTTTTGCCACCCTAGCTTTCGGTAAATGAGAGAAAATTTGTAAAAATGAGGTCGTTTCTATGCGGGTCAAATCGCCACGGCTATTTTTGCCGTGTCTGATATGCTGAGGGCACGAAATAATTAGTAACGTCTTTGCGTTCCAACAGAGAGACGTGGACCCCATAGGTGGATAGTTTAAGGGTCGCCCGCGGCACGCATGAACATGTTATCGCCGCAAAAAGTCATATCAGTTATTAGTACGTGACGTGCGCCCTATATGCTTGCATTATTCCACCCTCGGTTCAATTCCCAATTCCAAAACTCAATCTGGAATTAGAATTCTGGGATTCTACTACTATGGAATCTTGATATTTCTGTTTTTAAAAAAATTTTGGTAAATTTTGCGAAAAATTTGAATTTTTTTGAAGTAAGTGGGAATAGTCTGTGAAAATGGTGAGTTTTACGCTGCGTGGGTGGAAAAAAAGTTTGGCAATATCGAAATTCCCCGTGGAACTCTATTTCATGCTTAAGCCGGCCGCGACGCGCTTTCGGCACACGGTGAAAATGTAACTAACATTGCTCCCTGCGTTGCGATGCGCTGCTCTTCCAATTCATAAAGCAATTTAATGTGCAATTTTCGTTACCGTACTCTTCATTCGAGCGTAGCGCGCGCTTGTATTACGCCTTGGTGATGGTGCGGTTTTCCCTATTACTTCCCCTGGAGTTATACGTTTCCTTCCGACTCTTACGAATTTTCCGCGTCTTCAGAATTCACACTATGTGCATATCGACTGCAGGAAAGTCTTGCAAAATTGGAAAAAGGTGAAAATTTTTGCGCTCGAATAAAAAGTTTAAAAATGTTCCCCGAAAAAGAATTAAAGAAAAAGTTGCCAAAGTTGCTTTGGGGCATCATTTTCCACCGCGAAAAAAAAGAGAGAATTTAAACTGAACTCTGGATATAATTCATTTCTGAAAATGACTTCGAAACGACCTCATCTAAAAAACTCGATGAGGAGGAAAACCCGCAATAAAAACTTTTCTAATTGACAACTAAAGATTTATAACTGCAAAAATGCCAAAAATTTAAAACTTAAAAAATAATATCATTTTGTGATCTACTCTTTGGCGCGTCTGATGATGATCATGGCGATGACGGTGTGGTCTTGGTGGTAGTTGATGCCTCAAGGATTAAATATGCAAAAAGGTTTCGCTTTTAAGGAATTAAACATGCATGAAACGTCGATTAGTTCCAATCAACCGGAGGGCCATAGCGAATACACTCATATCGAGAGCGGTCAGTGTGGAGGATGTGGATGAAGAGCAACGATGAAATACGAACGATCCTGCGAGCGAATGACGGCATTTAATGGCCTCTCGATGGCGCGCCGCGTGCGCATTTAATATTTATTATTCCGTAATGAATTTAATTGCTTTTATTTATATTTTAATATTTATAGTGTAATTTAATTGCTTCAAACTGCAGAATAAATATACAAAGTGTTAATATCAACTGCAACCTAAAACCAATCTAATATATAACTTTATTTAAAAAACGCTTTGTAGAATTAAATATTGCAATATTAAAGTTTTCCAAAATTGCATCCAAATAAATCATAACAAACGAATAAATAATTTATAAATTTCGATTTGAGTTGAGTGCTTGTTAAAATCGACACATTAATTTTAATTCTCTTTAATTGTCAAAATATTCAGCAGTCAATTATGATAATTACAAATCATACGCGAAATGTTCATAAATATGATGAAATTTTAATTTCGTCAAAAGTGCTTTATATAAATTTAACTACAATGGTATTATCGTGACTGCAACTTCTTGATACGTCCTCATTTCGTACATCAACGCATATCAGCGAATCCGTGATGTCTGATAGTTGATGTGCAACGCCTGATGCAATTCAATTTGTTCGCCGCATTCGCTCGCCGCGAATTAACAGCGCGAGAATAATACGTTATTGTAATTTTAATCGCATGCATACATACATGTAGGTACATACCTACTTCTACCACCGGTACTCCTGTTCCAGTTATGAACTAAATAGACGCTCTGCGATTTTGATTGTAAGCGGTCGTGTTCTGCATTATGCGAGACGTGCGCAAGGCGAACGCTCATTGTTTGCGCCATTATTGTGTATTTATCTTGTCGCGCTTTTATTGGGTCGTAAACATTTTATTGTTGCGTTATATAATTTCGTTACGTTTTGCCGAACGCATATAGACATAACACACAGCGGCCGCCTGAAAAACGCCGTGCGTTATTTGAGCGTTCACAATTCGTCGGCGTGAGTTTATTAATTCGCCAAACATTTCTAAGGAGAAATGTTGTGGGAGGAAAAATTATTATCACCGTTGCGAATCAAATGACACAATTTCCAACACCATTGTTGATTTTACACACCTAATATAAAATATATAAAAATAGCATTCAAGTATTAAAATTATTAATAAATATCGAATTTTATTAGTAATATTAAGGATGATTGATGTTACAGTGAGAGTAAATTATGAGCATTATGATGCCATTCGTTTGCCCCCCAGCTGAGCGACGTGTCGATAATTTTGACACCTCCGAGTCGTGTCGTGTTCTGTCGCTTCGTATTCTTCCTCTTCGAACGTCAAACAATTTACATTAGCATCCAACAAACTCCTCAACAATGCATGCAACAAGTAAGCTAGACAAGAAGATAACTAGCAATACCAAAATAAAATGTGACTTAAATAACATGACTTAAGTAAAGAGGAGGGACCACTTGTCATGTAATATTCAACGAACAACCTAAGGAGTAACAACAAAATGTTATTGTGTTAAATGTCGTAAAATATAAGGTGTGGGGCATGTTAAGGTATAATATAAATATAGTAGGTTTTTTGGTGACTTTGTCCGTGTGTATTTGGATTAAAATTGGTGTAATTAATTATTTTTTAATCTCCTGGGCGTATTATGAGCCAAATCCGTCAATAAAATTTTCAATTTTAATTTAAACATATGAGAAAAGTTAATAATGCACTTTAATGCAATTTTCAGTCAAGTTATATGACTGAATTTGCATATCAACTTAAATGAATTAATATTTTATACTTCTAATTAAATTATTGCCACAATAATTGACAATTAGTCTATTTGATTTTCCTTGGTCCAAAATATCTCTACACCAAAATTTATAAAAATTAGTTTCGTGGTTATTGCCTGAAAAAGTCACAAACACACAAAAATGCAGACTTACATATAAATTTATTATTGTAGTTAAAATAATAGTATAATTATTAATTGTAGGGTTGTTTTGATAGTAATTTTTCGTAGATAACAAGATGTTTGTTCCTGTTTTAGCTTTTCCAGTTAATACACCTTTATTTTAAATAAAATGGCGCTCAACACTGGAAGCTGTTTGTTTTAAGTCTTAAACCGTGATTTTTATTTAAGTCAAAGACGTTAACATGTCGACTGTTTGTCGACTGATTAGACCCATGATGTTTGCCGATCCCACACGTTATACTGCTCATAAAATCGTTAAATATTTAAAGTTGCCACGGGGCTATAAAATCTTATCACCAAACAACTCGTAAACATATTTTAATACTAATTAATTTAGGTTGAGTGTAAAAATTCCAGTGTTTTATAAAATTGATCCATCAAATCAAAAACATTACGATATTACCTTGAAAATTGAAAAAAAAACTATGATAAATTAATTTCCCCATGTGACAAATACTCCTAGCAGGTTGTCCACTAATCAGGGTCGTTTGATCGCATTGATAGAAGTGGGTTGGCAGACGTCAAACAGCGAAAATCAATTTTTGAGGATTATTTTCGAGCTTTGATTTTCCACACTCGGCACTAAATGGCCGTGGGTTATGTGTGTGCGTTAAAGTGCGAAGCTGGCACATCTCTCAAATCTGGACGTCTCGACACCTCGACAGGCAAATAATGCCAGAAGATGACGGCCTCCCACACTCGCCGGCTGGGGGCCGCGCGCGCGGCGCGACGCTCGTGAAAATTAATGATTGTTCGTTCGGCGAGCCGCACGCGACCTACCTCAACGCCCCGGCGCGGCCACCGGCAGCCCGACGGCGAAGATAAATGCGTATTTGATAGTCCACCATGACTCGGAACTTCCTCGAGACTCTCTCCGGACGCGCGACTTTATGAAGTCGTTATACTATCCACAAGTCCACAAACGACCAAGAAGCCGACCCGAAAGAAAGAGAAACACACAGTCAAAGACATTAATAAATTACCAAGGTAATGTAACATATCAAAACACAGCAGTAACAAGATTCTGGTAAGATTTGAGTTGAGAGCTACTTAAATCCCCAGGGTGCGTCTATTGTCCACTAGATGGCGTTACATCACATGGATCTATTATTAAAACAGTCGGGATGCTTCCACTTTTTGGTGTCTATATCTGCATTTATGAATATTGCATATATCAGCAAAAATTCTAGGTGATGGACGTGCGCTCCCGACTCCTTCAAAGACTTCTTCACTCTCCCAGTTCACTGTACGTGCATAATATACCCTCAGTCGTAGTAGGTACTCTCACACTTTTGCTCTTCGTCTTCTTTTTCTTCTTGCGCTTTTCACGGCGCGAAGCAAGACTTGGGCTCGTTCTTCTTCTGGGTTTTGCCGAGCGACGCCGAATCGCCTGCCACTGGTGATTTGCTCAATTTGCGCACGTCACTCCACGTCAGCTCGAATGAGATGTAAAGTGTCTTAAAAATCAAACTCGATCCGGCGAGCACCGGAGAGGACTGCGCTCGCGAAACGACGTTTACTGGCCGTGGCACTTACACCTACTTCGTCATGAAAGTTTAACGCGTTGCAAGTGTATCCGATGAAAATACAACCAGAAAAAAACACAGGGAAAAATTAAAATTTAGACCAGTATGAAAGAAATTATTAGTAAAAATTCTAAATTTCTGAGTTAATTAGTTTCTAAGCTTCTTGTGCGTTGGTTGTTATGTAAGTCTCACGTTTCATATTTCGACATTTTCAGTTTCGGTTTCTGTCTTCATTCCCCGTCATATTTATCCGATGTTATCTCGTCTTTGGGCTCTCGCTGAGTGAGAAGCAGCGCGTCTCGGAATCCCGCAGCTTAGACAAACACATGTCTTGACTCTTAGCTACATGCCGGGTCGAGATTCGTAAGATCATCATCAGATTTTCAAACGTGTTGGGCTGGATGATGTGAATATAAGCGATGTTACTGAGCGTATTTCAAACCTTCTTAAACGTGAGAACAAAATTTGAATATAGAAAAAATTGTATAAAAATTCCAGATTTAGAATTGTTCTAAATGTATATGCCTGTCTAAAGATTCTGGTTCATGTAGAAGAGGGTGCGAACAGAACGTAGATCTAAGATCCGTTTATCCCAACGGATTATGCGACTATTTATTACGTGTCTCGTGTCTGCACCTTTCCGCCATTCTACATCCCCCACTGTCTTAACTCCGAGTGAAAAGTGAAAACCTAAACCCGACTCGGAGACTTAACGAAGACGCATTTAAAACACTAATAATTCTTATGCACAAATTCCGGGGACTACAGCAGCCCGACAGCACTGCCAACGCGTTTGACAGAAGTGACAAGCGGATAAACAACCGAAAACCAGCCAAGATGAATGCAACTAAAAACGGCGGATGCTAATATACGTTTCTTCTTTCTTCGTCATCGTACAAAACGGACTAATGAGAGGAAATTAACACTTTAATAAAAAATTAAATTTTTTGTTTATATAATTTTTATTTGGCTGTAAACTATGGAATTTAATTTAATTTAATTTACGTAGAAATAGAAAGTGATATTTTTTCGAATTGGGAATGTATGCAATACTGTTGTATGCATTCCGATTTCTAATCAATTCGTGCAATAACGAGATCTCGTCGAAGGCGCTGGAACTCTTTGGGTCGAGTGTGTGTCTTGTTAGGCCCGCGTTGTTATTGTCGAGGGATCCTTGACCCGTTTGTATTTTCCATATAAGCGCGACATTTGCCGTCGAGTAAACTATCGAACTATCCGCGATCGCGATACGCGGTAAAGTGATATAATGAGCACATGTTATACATTAACATTAGATACGAGCACTACCACGTCACTTACTTACGATTAAAACTAGGTAATGCAGTGCAATTGGTGCAAGAAGTTCATTACTAAATTCAGCATAAATCAATTTAAATACGCGCTTGGTTTTCGTAGAAATCAATTTAATTTAATTACATTCGTTGAATATATTTGAGATTAGATTATTTCGCGGTATAGATCACATGCGAATAAGTTTTATGATGTGAAAAATATGAAAATAGTGTCGCCGTGTCGTTATTGGATTTCCCAGGCGAAATATTGCACCGAAATAAACGTGTCATGCACACGTGACGACTTTCACAGGCATAAGTCATAGAAATAAATACCACTTGGTGTATATATTTTTTTATTTACTATTTTTATTATGTTTTATGTTTTTATTTCCAAAAAATGACGAAGTTTGGTTAAAAATGAAAATTTAATGTTCGTTGTGTTGCATAACATAAAGCTTTATTTATTATGAATTTAATTTTGCTTAAAATTGAACATTAAGTCATTAAGTATTGTTTGTTTAATCGTATCAATTATAAATTAATTACGTTTTATTTATGTTTTTATGTTTGCATTGATATATTACACGAATGGCAACGAGGAATATAGAATCATAAATGTTAAGATTCATATTCAATTAACGATGTAATTAAAATCGCACTGGTGGTCTCCACTATAACGATACGCCACTATTAAATACCAAATAGCAACGAGTTGCATGTATTCACTGATATAAACGGTGCAATTGCTGTAATTGCATTGTTATTATGCATACGTAGGTAATGGATGGTGGATTGGCATTTATGTTATGAAAATTATTCGCGTAACAAGCGAATATTTTTTTAAATTTAGGTTTAATGTTATGCATCATAAATATTTGCGAAAAAATGTTTAAAATGTTATGAAAAAATGTAAAAGAAGATCGCTGCGAACAGGATTCGAACCTGTGCGGGCAAAGCCCATTTGATTTCGAGTCAAACTCCTTAACCACTCGGACATCGCAGCCGATGGGAGGTAGCTGCTACTGTTAGGTTATAATGAGAAATGGTATATCCCCTCTTTTATTTACTAAATATACAGTAATAATGTAGAAATTTATTACAATACTTACATCTACGACTTGGAAAAGATCGATAAAATTATATAATTCAAATAGCACCAAAAAACAATGTTTTTATCAAGATAATGATACGAATTTAATTAAATTTAATTTTTCTTGTTGAAAATAATATCTGCAGCTCAATTTAAGCCGAAAATGAATCAATTTATTAAATTTATGCCCCAACATGTAATTCGGTAGCACTGTAACTTTGTAGGGATTAAAATATAGAGAAATGGAAGTTGTGTAACAGTTGTTGATGTGGTGGCCTAAGTTTTGAGGTCAAAACCATCTGTTCCAAGTGGGTTCAGGCCCAGAGCCGCATTCGAAACACGAGGAGACCGACGATAACACTCGGAATATATTGGATATCCGATACATTCTGCACGCTTTAAGTTGGTGTGCTGGTGATGTATAAATGTGCGAATGTGGATATGTATAAAGTTTATAAAACGCACGCGGAGCTAAACAGCAAAACACCACCACGTCTCGTTGATGGTTGAAAGTCGAAAATGGTCATACTGCCTGCGCTGGGGTCGAAAGAGCAAAAGCGTAGACAGTAGACCCTTCAGTATGTTTGTGTCAGTGTCGGCATTTCATGCATACACGCATTCGTAGGAAAACGTGTATGAATATTTTCCAGCCACCAGCCGCCTCTATGAAAAGGGATGCTTTGACAAAGCGCTCGGTGCGAGGACAATCGCAAACACGGGTAACACGTTTTCGGTGCCCTCGCCGGTGTTCGGCCATATCGCCACCGACAGCCCTTTTGCCGAATCTTCGCTTTCCGATGCGCGCACACGAACAATGCCCAATTTGGGAAGGTTAATGCGAGAAGGGCCGAACAATCGTGGCGAAAATTGTGCGTGTTTGAAGCGGATACATGTGCGACGAGGGTACTCGAATCGCTCAATTGTTGTAACAACTGCGAGAATTACACTGTTACGTTTTTTATACCTCGATTGATTTTATGCACAAAGCATGGAAAATTATGCATGGTATCAAACTAGATCACAGACCCTTCGGACAAACTGTCAGTAAAGCACACACAATACTACAAAGTCAAAAATGACATAATAGAAGCACCAGAGGGTAAAAAATAAAGGTATCCAAATAAAAAATTAAAATAACACCAAATCAACTCAACTATTCATGTATTCACACTCAAACACTTCTGGAAAAATTTTAAATCCAAGACAACTTTTCTATGTGTAGAAAAATGACTTTAATTAATCTTGTGTCGAAATAAACACAAACAAACACACAGAAAGGAAGAAATAATTGTCATTCACACCTACCATCCGTTGAATATCCAAGGGGTGCTTGCTCCTCTCATCAGATTTGTCGCAGATGTCATCCAGAGGAAGTCCCAGCTTACCACTGGTTCCCCAAGCCAAGGAAACGGAATAATTAACGGAAATATCAGCAAAACATTAACACATCATTAAGAAATTCTTCAGATTTTAAATATTTACAGTTTTAAGTTTGGTTATGTTGATGTCACGCATTGTCAATTGTTGTATGAATGTAGTTCGATTCGCCACTTACATTTATTTACCCAGCCCGAGACATAAATCATTGAGGCGCACGGTTTTACTACGCATTGCGTTTATAAACGCATTAATAATTGTGTAACGATGACGACGGACGACGCCGCCGATGGCACTGAAATTTGTGACGGCAATGAGACGAAAATAAATAATCGCCGCACACAGCGCGCTCGCGCCGAAAAAGTGCATGATCATACCGCCATCATTTGTTACCGGCTCATTTTCGTGCAATTACGGGGACCACTGCCGGTGTGCGCACAGCCTGCCTACCTGTTACAACGTCAATACAAATTACAATCATCACAAAGCATCGCAAACAAACGAAAAACATTCAATGAAGTACTTTTTTCTAATAGAAATGATAAATTCACCAAGAGTTTATTATTTTGACACAAGGTGGCGCTAGTAATATACTTGGATGTATTTAATTGAGTTTTGCATTCGATTTGGTTTTGTTTTATGCTGTATGGATTGCAGTGGAACTCTTGAGCCAACAGCGACGATGAGAGTGAGTTAAATGCCGAGTTAAACGCTCGATATTAATTTAATCGACGAACATCGCGTTCGCTTAATTATCGAAATCAATCAGGCGCTCGTTGCGGTGAATAACGTTCAATGTTTTTTATTCATTTCTTGTTTCTTGAAAGGACATCAAGCGTTCAAGATCATCAAGGCGCGGTAATGACTTTTTTGCTTCTTTATCTTGTTGCGCATGTTTCCATTTACATTCATTTGCATTTTTTACGTTTTTTTGATAATTACCCAGTTTGTAACACTGAATCTGATTTAGTTCATTTAATAAAACACTCAACTGAGGACGGAATATTCTATAGATGTAAATATGTAAAGTACAACTGACATTGTTAGACATTACCTTACGTGGGAGAGAAATAGTCACATTTATAACAAAATGAGTACAACCGTTTGATTTTCAGATTTTTTTTTGAAATTTCAAGTAGGTAGGCACTGCAAATGTTTATAACTTACCTGCGTTCCTAGTCACATTTGTAGATGTTATTTGAAAACGTCGTTGCGCGTAAAAATTACGTATTGTTTGCCTGGGTGGCTCTAAGTAGAAGTGACAGGAGTAACGGCCACGAATGATTTATGCCTCCTTGTGCGCCGGTTACTGCTTACACACAAACACATTCTCATACACATTGCGACCTACTGGCGCATCTCCATTTCGTTTTGACATCGCTTATTACCATTGCGTACAAATACGAAAAATTATCCATCGCGTAAGGTGAGAGATGCTTAAATATTAAAAAAAACATTTTTCAAGTAAATTTCGAATACAATTTTTTATATTGACTGCCTCGGCAGTAAAGTATGATTCATAATTATTTACAAAGGTATGTGATCATGGCTATTCTTAGCTGGGAATTGAGACTTGTCAACTTCAAATCGGATTTAAAGCTTTCTCGTAGATTAAACAAACGTGCGCAGGAAAACACAAAATTAAACCTGTAACGAGTGGGAATTTTGCAGCACATTACCAAATATTAGATAACACAACACAAAAGGTATAATCTTGTATTGTCACTCAAAACATTCCGTCAAAATTCTTTGCAGCTGAAAGTTTATTCGTAATTTCGGTGCTTTTGCTAATCCATTAAATGTGGGTAAACGTTGATTGATCATTCTAAATAACATTTACAATAATACCCGGCACACTGCGTTACACCTCGCACCTTCCACACACATTAATTAAGATGAATAATTGCGCTTGTCATTACCTTCATAATATTACTATCATTATAACTCCTTCGCAACTTTTCTTTGATTGTGCATAGAAAAAAGTTTTAATCATGAATTAAAAAATTAAATACCTAATAATTAATTATTAATAAATATTTGTATTTTTTGCAATAATTGTTTGAGTTTTGATGGTAATGACTAAAAACTTTGTTCAAAATTATGAAATAATATAAGATATAAAAATGTTTGTTTGAAATTAAGTCATTCACAGCGATTAGTTTTAATTAACGTACTAAAACATTAATAAACGTCGTAAAAGTTAATAAACCCAATAGAGTTTACACAAAAAACTGTAAATTACATTAAGAATATCACCGGAGTAATAAACTAGTGTAAAATATTGAAACGTTGAGTTCATAACTTCGTACGATGCCAACGTTTCGAGAATATAATGCGATTATTAGACTACTTGCCAAATACAGCTATATTTTACATTGTTTACAATAGTGCTTCCTAGGCACTTGTTATTTTTAAAAATGCTAAGTGTTTGCTACAAGTACGAATATTAATTTAGCAGTCACTTGCAAATGCACTCGTTATTAATGATTCATTTTATAGTGAATTGTAAGGTTTCGTACTTTGCCTTTTTCCCACTTTCTCATTGTTTTTGTAGAGTAGCGAACTAAAAAGCACTGATAAAAGTATTAAAGTATTTCAAAATCGTGTTGGCAAGCAAGCAGTAATTATTCCCATTGTTTTAGAGATTTCAAGCATAACCTTTAAAGAATTTTTGTTGATTTATGAAAAAATTAACTTTTACTGCCTGGTTGATTTTTCAGCCTATGAGGGTATGTGAGAGTACAGTAAAGATCTTTTATGGATCACACAATACCTGGAAAAACGTTTGTTCGACTTTTAAACCTTCGCCGAGGCTGAAATTCCAAGCACAACAATAATGTTATTGAAAAAATGTTATAAGCCATCCCAAGCAATATGATGATGACAATAGTCTGTATGCTTACAGAGGGCTGACCCCCAGGTAAATGAAATTCTGACTGGAAGAGGTTTAAGTTCCAATTCGGTAGATTTGTGACGTCGTTTTGCATAGTGCTGGTCTAAAATATGACCGAGAGGACGTTGCGGAAGTTGGAAGTTGCACATGTTGTGTCTGAGGATGATGGGAAGTGACGGGATCAGCTGGCCCCCGACGCGTGTGCGCCGGCACGCTCGGATGTCAGCGGCAGAGGTGTATCACTTGTTTACGTCATGTGCCGGGGTGTTTGAAAGATTTATCCGGAGCGCGCGCGCGAGAGCTCGATCATTTTTCATTGCGCATCGAGCGAGTGTGTGAGCGAGAGGGTGGCGGTGGCGGCGGCGGCGTGCACCGCCGCGGGAGAGACGCTGCCGTTGATTGGCACTGACAACTTGTCAACGCCGTCGCAATGGTGGTGCGGCGCAGGAGCGCGCCGACGAACCACCACGCCTGAGCGTCGTGTGTGTATGACGCCGTAACGCCGGCGGAGTTGCCATCTCTCCCCACGCGACGATGGCGATACCTTTGGAGGGGGCTCGAAGCGTGCGCAACGTTGCGCTTCCCGCAGACCCGGTTGTGCCATCGGGCTGCGCAAGCGTCCCCGCCAGGCGCCTCCCATTGGCCGATAGGTGTGTCCCCCGCTTGACAGATCATTCATCCGAGCCCCACTCTGCCCCCGCGAACGGCAGTGATTGACAGTTGGCAGACGACTGCGGAGCGCGCAGGACCTCCGCACGCACACCCCGTGTTGTCGTTTTTCCTCGCAAAATCCCGAGCGCCGAGCGCTTCGGCGTCGAGCCCCAGGTGTTGTCTCGCCGTGCGCTGCGTCCACGTGGACCGAGCAACAACCCTCATCGCGACGACCGCGCGTGTGATGTGATAGCCACCCGCGAGTGCAGCACCAGCGAGCGGCAGTGCACCAGCTCAGGCCAGCAGGGCCCGGGCCCAACGACGCGCGTCGCGAGTGTGTGTAGTGTGTTTTGCGTTCCCCAAGGTGTACAATACCGGAGACACGGTGGCCCAAGCTTCAGAATACCCCAGCGCGCCGGCGGCCAGGGCTTTCATGGCTCAGCGGGTACGACAACTGAACAACCACACAACTCAACAACAACTCAGCAAAACCACAAAAATCGACGGAGTTAAGCGGCCTCGCAAGGGCCTGGTTAAAGTGCAACAGTCATAAGGTCTTAAAGTGCTACTATGTCAGGATACACCACTACCAGTGAAGCAATGCGAATACCGGTATCGTGGATTTGTGTTTATTTGTTGTAAAAAACGCGCCAAAGTATAGTGTTAGACCAGTGTTCATCAAGCTCAACCTCACACACTCACAAGATGCAAACAGAATCAGTTAGGGATCCGGGAATTGTTCTATTGCGGGAAATTTTGCGCCAAGTCAGTTTCGCTAACCTGACTTACCGCGCGCGCCGTGTGCAGAAGTGTCTTGCGGCCGAGCGCTTCTCAGAAGGACAGCTCGCTCAAACGAGTCATCGCAGTGACACGACAAAAGTGGCATTGAGCGTGAAGCACACTGAAGCTGTGGGGTATCCGTGTGTTACCCGCCGGACTGGGCCACGGCGCGTTTCTTCAGAGCTCCACGCCGCATAATGCACGAAATGCACATAAATCTTGATTGCCGCACGCCGCCGGTGGACGAAAATCTTGATACTTTAATTGCGCGCCGTCGGCTCGGCATACCAACACCCTAAACCTTCACAAGTTACAAGTCATAAGTCAATACCTAGCAAACAATAGTTTTTCGAAACACATTTAGCATTACCTTTAAATACTTGACTATAATTAAAATTTTTATTTCGTATTACAATTAAATAGACACACAAAGAAGTGCGAAACGCTAATGATAATAATATGTGCTGGATAATTTACGTTATCCGTCGGAAAACACACGGAAAACTTCAACCTAATGCAGTTTAAAGTTTAAACAATTAAAAACACACACAACCCAGCAATCGAAGTCATTTTTGATTATCGAAAGTAATAAAAATAAAGACTACACTTATTAACTTTTATAGCTCAATAATTTATGTGGGTTTTAGAACGTATAATTAATTATTAGCTGGATTTATTATTAATCTAAAGTGATTTGAAGTGCTACACGAAATTTTGAATCAACATCAACATATCAGTTTCTCTGTACAGTATAATACACATTATACACTGTACACTTTTGCTTAATAATTACACCAATAATTACGGTTAATTCTCTTAAGTTGAAAATGGTTCTATTCATTTCGGAGGTGAGGTGAGGTGCGTGCAAGCAGCAAGCTGCTTTTAGAGAATCTTTTAAAATCGATGAATTGGCACTTCTGCTCTTTGATTTTTTTGATTGCGAGCGCCCGTCGGAGATTTTCATGATACGGCTTATAACGTCGTGCCACAAAGAACCCACCAAGCTGGCCACAGTTAAAGACGGTTAAATTCGACTTAAGTCTCGCTAGCACTCCGACGAGAGAAATCTGAATATCATCGTGGAATGTCAGGTATTTCTTTCTTTGACCACAACCATGTGCAACGTGCGCAGTTTCCCAGCGGAACAAAATAAAAATATTAAAATATCAATGTTAGGTTAGGGTTTAAATTTTAAAGAAATTAAATATTTTTGTTGGTGACTTTGCGTCGTGATTTCTGTGGAAGTTTATAGCAATGCATGCGAGAGCAGGCAGTTGTGGTTGTTGTTGGTCTGAGTCGAAGAATGAAGATGAGTAGCAAGTCTCTCGGACTCGTTGAACGAGTTGCGCATACTTTCGACTTGCCTGTCTGAAACGCTCTGTTCGCCTGCCGACGGACGCTAGCGAACGGATGGAACGCATCAACATATTTAAAATGCGCCACGAAAATAACTGCCTTCTATTGCAACCATCGTGCATCATATTAAATTGATTCAAATTTTTAAATATTAAATTTACAATTACGGCTTTAAATATTCATTCATTCAGTAGGTTAGAGTTTAGAAAACAAGAATAAAATTTGATAGGGCTTGATATGGTCTTGATAGTCAGGCGTTAGGGACGTCTTTGATGGGCCTAGGGTAGAGCCAAACGAAATTTGGCGCTGTGTTTCGAGGGAGACAGCCGTGGAGAAAACGGCAAACGGCCGGAAAGCGAATTACTTTATCGCAGTCGTGGGGAAAATCTAAACGGCGCGTTTTGTGTCTGGGAAACCGCCTCCCGCCGCTTTATTATGCCGTGTTTTCCGCCTCCATTGCGGGCGGAAAAAGATAAAAGTTCCGATCGAACAAATTTTACAAATCAAAGTTTTACAATGAAGCAGACGTGTCGAATTTAGAGTTCAAACCACATCAAGAGGAAATAAAATCGTGCTTTGTTTGCCAATTAAATGAAGTGTGCATACCGTCGGATAAGAAAACTCGCATCTCAGTTGAATATAACCTAAAATTTTTCTACACAAATTTTACTTTTAATAATGATAAAGTTATAATAAATGTGTTTATAAATCAGACACAGGAAACTCTCATACGCACAATTTACGTTTTTTAAAAGTTTTTATTCGTTTTGGTATCAGGAGAGGTTATGTTCACCGTCGGCGGCGGGCGTTTACTGCACCATGAAATTTAACGACGCATTGCCTGAAACAAAACCCAGTTTATATCGGTTTTATCAAATCAATGAAACTTGTAAGCTCAGCTACCGTGTTCTCACACGAAATTAACCAATCACAAATAAAATTAATTAAATTCACGAAACCATAAGCAGTAACCCAACAATAAAATATGCAAAAATTAATACAATTCTCTACTTAAGTTTTTTCGGTGAAATATTTACTGATATCTGATACACGTGATACATTTGATATAATGTTCATTTAATGTTGATGTTATGAAGTATATTGTTGCGTTTTTATTATTTTTATCTAAAACTATCTGAAACGTGCGCGCCGCGCTTATCTCGACATTTAATGCACTCCACACACATACCCACACATATGGCATATAAATTAATTCCCATTTACTTTACTAGTTGCATAAAAAACGCGAGCGCGCCGCGATCATTAACAGAAAACCGGTTAATACGTCGTGCATTATTAATTTTATTAAGTTTATTAACTACATTAACGCGCTTAATTTACCTTTTAGGCATTAGTTTTACGAGCATCTTCATTCACAACAAAGAAATAAGACTAAACCAGCGATTAGAGTGTGCCAAATCGAGCAACATGCTTTTAAATTATTATATTATCTTGGTTTATATTTATAAAACACACCTCAATTGTGATATTGTGCGTTTATGGCAAATTTCATTTGTTGGTCACAGATTTGTTAGTGGTAGTTGAGTTTACAGTCACTTTTCGATTATTATTACGATAATTACGCATAATTGCGACGGATGGCTATGATGATATTAATAAAATAATTATTGCACGGCACGTTGTACGAGTACATAGTAAATTTGAATTGAATGCGTAATAAAAATGTTTAAACGTTACGAAACGCATAAACGCAGGTACTACTTACATTAAAACACAAATTGTATGCGAGTATTAACCAACCTTCAGCGAAAAATTACGACAAAATAAAAATAACGTAAATTTTTCATATTTGAGGTTAAGTAGTTCAAAGTGTTAACGCCAGGTGGCTAAAAATGATGGTAATGAAAAATAACCTCAAGTTATTTCTTACTTTGATGTTTTCTCTTCTGCGTTGGTTTGTGATGTGACTGCGGATCAACCCCATAAAACGCCGGGTGACACATGTGGGTCGCAGACTTTACGACTTGTATAAATTTACTTACACATTATCAACGCTCTCACCGCGGGCGCTCTCATATTGCTCTTCAAACGTGCGTTCACGTTTAATAGCAAAGCGTATTATGATCCAGTGTTTCATATTATGGCGAACAATCACGTTGTGTGTGTTGTTTTTAATTTTCGACCGTTTGATTTCTTCATTTGGACGATTCAAATGTTTTAAAATGATAAATATAACTTAAGTGAGGTTACGCTATGTTATGAACTTGTCATAAATTACCGGTAACTCTTGATAATTTATTTCGGAATTTTCTCGACGATTTAATAATTTCGGAGATATTTATTTCTACGCATTAATCCAAAGCGTAAGAGCCGGTAATATTTATGAATGAATTTTACATCTTGATGCGCTGTGTGTGTTGTTGTATTAGGTGGCAGTTGAGGTTATGCTCGATTTGGGAGACGTATTTCGACCTGTCCCGATAGTGACACCGCGCAGGTTAGGTTACGCTTAGGTGGCGGTGAGATTTATCTCGATTTTTGCGCCGCGCGAGCTCGAATTAATTTATTTTTGAGAACGCCACGCACGTGAAACACGAAACATGCACTCACTACCCGAACATGCCGGGAACAGGAAGCCAAAATATCAACGCTAAATTTAGAGATATTCGAAATAGATCAAACGAAATTACATTTAATATTTTCTGCATAACACGAAATAAGTATTCTAAATGTGAGAACAGGAAAATCACAAATATTTCACATCTAATATTTTTGATTTTATTTTTCAAGAAATAGAAATTTTTTTGTGCGTTGTGTGTGTATCTAGTCCTTTTTTGCTCTGGTTGGGCCGGGATCTATTTTTAAAATCGTCGTAGCTGTGGCTAGCGCATCACGAAATGACGAAGAGTGAAAAGTGCTCTGAAAACCTCCGGTCGCGAACACATGAGAGCCACACATGAAAGCATCGGAATGATGCGTTCGCTGTCTGCGAGGCAGATAGAAGGGAAGCAACGCGCCGAGATGAGATTCGAAGCGTTTTACATGTGCGTCGAGTTAGTTATGTCGCGCCGACGACAAAACTCCGTTAAAAAGCGACGACCGACCCGAGAGCGTCATGTCGTGTGTGTGGTGCTATTTTCGAACGCTTTTCCCAAACCCAACGACATACCAGACAAAACTAAAATCCCGCGTGAAGAGTAACGACGAGAAAAATTAAATACCAACTCAAATAAACAAAACAATTGAATAAAATTCTTATATTTAAAATCTGGCAGGAATATTTGTTGTGGTCGAGTGAAAACGAAATTTATAGCGGAAAGAAATAAATCTCAATTTTAATTTGCCACACACTTGTGACAGTCGCCGGGCATCGGCCGTCCACAAGTGCGAACATTATTTACAACCGCAGAGCGCTGAATAATTTGTGGCTTGGCATTGCTGCTGCTTTTTCTTGCCACTTCTTTATATTTCATTTTTACTCGCGATGAACAATTTACACCAAAGCTCGCGCAAATTAAAAATTTTCATAAAACGCTCGTAAACTATGCTTGCACGTCGAGACCACATCGTGAGCACGAGTTTAATTCATACCTGTACCTGTAACTTATGTTCTTATTAAAATATGTAATAGAAAAAAATCCATTAAAACGAAAGCGAGTAATGCAGGAACATTGAATTTTTTGTAAGCGCCGCGCAGCGGGGTAATGAATAAAGAAGTAAAATGTTAAGGTAAAAATCTAGCTGTTTCGATCGGCGTTTGTTTGTTTGTTATTTATGTAAATGTCGGTTGTCGGTTGTGCGCGAGAGCAGTGCTATGTTTTGCATACTAAACTCTCAGATTTTGAATAATTACTGAATAATAAACGTTCAAAAGAACGCACAAAACAACCGCGACACGATTCGAAGCCATTCTAGTGATTTAGATAACACTAACCTAAATTTAACTTGGCGATCTTACAGTTAGATGGCGTTAGTTGTCATTATGATTAATATTTAGGTTATGTATGAAATTTTTACAAGTTGTAGTTGAATGAATATTGTGATTATATGCAAGTATCTATATATTATATTAGGATATCAAAACATTAATTACTAGAACGTTGGTAAAACGCACTGGTTGAAGTTTATTAGGGTATAAAGATAATTCAACTATAAACCAGCGTTTTCTCACAATTAATGAACATAACTCAAGAAAACTGAACGACACGTTTTCTTATTGAGTGCATTCAGGTGGAAAAAGTCCAAAACTAATTGCGAATTGATTAATAATTAATTAAACGCTGACTTAATGTAGTCATAAATATTTATGCGTGTATTTTTTGAAGGAATATCGTGAAATTTACTTAGTTAATATGCAAATATCAAATGTGTATCCATCTCTGCCGACCGGTAGGGAAGTCCACTAATTAATTATTTATTAAATTAACGCGGCGGCGCACTGTGTGACGCAATTAACGTCCTGTGCTTTGTGCTTTGCCGGCAAGCCGATTGGAACGCTCATCATCGATACTTGCTTAAGGATTTTATGCGCTTTGAATGGCCAGTGTAACACATCCGAATAATGTGTGCGCAAATAGGAGCCGATCGAAGCGAATCGCGCGGTTTACGAGCGCGAAATGTATAAAATCAGAAATTTGTGTGCGCTAACTTGTTGAGTTTGTATACTATACCGCGCTAAGAGTTGAGAGGACAAGAGCGAATGCAAGATTTGTATGTACCACACCGCTGAAGGATGTGGACGCGAAAGACACGCGTTTATCTGCCGGGTAATAGGGTAATGCCCATCTCCTGAATGTATTATGCGCTCGTAAAATTCGCTTCGTAAATGAAAGCTCTCCGCGCGCGCGCACGCCGCGTAAATAACTTACAGAAACGGTAGTTGTGTGTGCCAAAAGGTACGCGCAAGAACAAATAAAAACAATCACGTGTCTCTCACATATAAATAAGCAAAACTTTCGTTTTTGTTAAAAAAAAGCACATTTTAAGACCTTGTATGTTCGATTTTTGTGGTTTGCTGATTTTAATTTCAACGAAAATATTGTGTTCACATAATTTCTTGATGGTGGTTGATGACTGTATATTTTATCAAGGGTTGGTTGTTGGTGGAAGTTTGTTGTCGAGTCATTGCAACGCAAGTTTTCAATAACGGCGCTTCAGGAGCGCTTTCAAGCGTCGATTTTGAATTTTTCATGAGGTTTACACACTGTGCCCCGCGTGTTATTCAACGTTCAGTCATGTTTCTCCTACCGGCTTTTGCCTGCCTTTTTTTGATATGAATAATGCCCTGACTACACACATTTTCCAAAATGTGCACTAGCAATAGTTCACAGGGGCAGACAGTTGTTCATTTTATTCCCCCTACTTTTTAATATAAAAAAAAACACTGGAAAAATTATAGGTTATTTTGTGTTGATTGTTTGTTCTGAGTTTATATAAAATATCTTTTATTCTACATAGCTAACTTTTTGTGTAATGTAAGAAAACAACAAAATTATCTAAATAATTACAATTAAATCGCTATTAATGTTTTGTAGCACTTGTAACACTCGTGGTTCGTGTTGGAGTTTTTGATCAACTTTTTCACACGCTGTAATAGTTCAAACGCATGAAAACCAATGTTTCTAAGCTCTTCAAATACTACTATTAACTTCTGTGCTTTCTGTTGTTTCTGTTGTTCGTTACACAATGTCAAAACATGGCATAACTTAATGTGCGCACAAAATCTAAAACTAAACACGCTGCTTCTTCACTGCTACATTTTGATATTCTTGTTTCCCTTTTTGGTTGGCTGACTGCTTCCTTCGAATTGTTATCAGCAGAGTGATCTACTATAAAATAACCGAGTTCCTATTGAATACAACATGTTTAGGCCATGAAACGTAACTTTTTTCGATTGTTAGGCGCATGAAAATCTCTGTTCTGTTTTCATGCTATATTATTATCTATATTTATGTTTTGAGTACAAATGCAAGTGGTTTTTAATTAAAATTGAAAATGTAGCAGGAGAATTCATTAATCTACAGGATTTGTGTTTGAATGCTTCGTATGAATGTGTTGTTGAGGTTTTGAATGTTATTCATCGATTTTGATACTTGTTTGTAATCTGGAATGATAACGCACATGGCTTAAGTTAATCCCTAAAGACCTTGGATAGATAATCGGTCGAAATTAGATGAATATCAATGAAATAACACGAAATAATCCAAAATGTGAACACGATATTTTTCTACACACAGATTGTTGTAATTTTTGTGGATGTTTTGCGATGTGATTTTAATTTGTTTGTATTTTTTAGTACGACGATGGGATTCACCCCGGCTATATGGATGGCGGCGCGGGCGGCGGTGGGTTGTACGAGCCCCACGTCGCGCACCGCCCCTCCATCCACCACTCGCCGCATCTTAACCATGCGATGCATCAGTACCACGCAAACCATGTGGCGCCGGCGGCGAACCATGTCATGGGCGCCGTGCCCGACGTCGGCAAACGAGACAAAGACGCCATTTATGGGTGAGTAACATAACCTCAAAACGCGTTTGATGAAATGGCGACGTTTTTAACGAAATTCAATAATTCGTCGAGTTATTTTGTTGCACGACAAAAACAAGAAGCGAAAATTGAGCAAAAGCAAAAATAAAGAAGCAAAACAAGCCGCTGGTCGCAACCAGTCGCAGGCCGGGATGCGCCGCATTAAAATTGATATTCATGTGCATAAATTAATTCAAATTTATTATCGTCCGTCGGAATGCTGCGCCGTTTCGGGCTCAAGACTCAAGACCATGCGCCTTACATTCGTAATCTTCTTCTTGCCTTCACTTTTATTCTCATTTTCTCGCACACGCATTTCCTATACTCTTATTCTTACTCTCCTTATCTTGCTCGTCACGCAAGTGAATGCAGAAATATCAATTTCGAAAAAAGTTTCATAATTTTTTATTCACCAAAAAGTCGATCAAGATGAAAATTTTGGGTTCGCTGCTGCTTTTTGAAGGGGGACTTTATCTCTACTCAAGAAAATAGAAATAAACGTCTCGGAGGATTCGCTCGAAAAGAGGGAACAAAATATTTAAAATTCCCTTGGAGTCTTACAGCTTTCAAGGTCTCAACGGGACACGAAATTCCCCAAAATGAACGAAAATTGTTTAGTGTCTAAACCACAATATAGATAACTTCTTTATGTTTTTTTAAATTTTAAAATTTTTAAATTTCTTAAAAAAAATATAAAAATAATTGAAATGTTTAAAGTTTCTACATGTTAATTGTTTAATTGAAATGTTCGACTTGATATTTCATCGTTTCTGTACGAATGCAGCTGATAGCGTGAGCGATATTTAACAAATAAACCACATTTTGTATACTATTGACGTCCTCATCGCAAACAATGTTATTTTGTCGATTTTCACATCGGAATTTAGAAATAATGTTACAAAACTTCACTTTAACTTAAAATAGCTTCGTAGTTTTCTATTTATTCCTACAAAACTGTGTATTTTTTTTAAGTTATCATATGATTAGTTAGTTGTTTAACATATTTAACAAATTCTTGATAAATTTGCTCAATATCGCCATTACTGTCACTTGAAAATAAGACTAGAATTTCAAAATTAATATTCGATTGTAGTTTTTGTGGTTTTGAACGTGTGTGCGCTTATTATGCTAATTGGTAGAATATGTGGTGTGTGCGAGTGTCGTCTCCGCGCGCGTCGGCGTGTAAACGCTTGTCATTAAATTTAATTACAAATTAAAACGCAAATGAGCAAACAATAAGTCCCGCCTCGCGCGTCGCAAACCAATAAAGAACCGGACTTGAAGAGTTCGAACGTTGAATTTCACTGACTGAACAAACGAAACTTTAATTTAACGAAGAATACATATTCCCCCGAAGGTGTCGCTTAATTACTTAGCACATATCCAAGTATAATTTTAACTCTAACAAACGCTATGCTCAATATAGAACAAATGTTATTTACACATCACTATTCAAAGGCATATTGCACTATAAAATTTAATATTCAACAATTGCGAATGCAAACACACTGTATGTGTGATGTGGTGTAAATCATGCGAGTGTTTAGTGCATGTATTGGAACCGCACATAAAATTTAATTACGCTTAGCACTTTCCTGCTCGCGTTTTCGTCCCGTCTATGCGTATGTGTGTGGTTTTTAGGTTTTAGTTTTGCGTGGTGAGTTTTTATTACTGATGCCTAAGTCGAAAGTTTTATACATAATCGACGTGGAGGTTTGTTACGCGGATTGCATACACTTCAAGAAAAGGAAAGAAAACCGGCAGCGGACATTAAAAATTATATTATGCCCCAGTACGACCAATTAAATAAAGCAAACACAATTTACAATTTGCTGCGCTGTAAACTTAAACTTTACCACTGCCAGAGTTTGTGTATTTAGAAAAAGCGAAAAATGCTCCGCAAAATGCGCGTGAAACACAAATTGAAAAGGGCAAAAGATATTCTTGCATTAAATTTTATGACTGCCAACTGTCGATTAAAGTTAACTGCTGACACACTTGAATTAAGTGTTATTAACTATCAGTATCTACCAAAAACTGTGCTCAAAACAATTAAATTTTGTTGTTTTTTTTTTGAGAATTGATTATAATTGAAATGAATTCCAACGAAGTTGAATACTCATGAAAACAACCCTTAACTTCTCTCCACTAGTACCTAGTTGTTGTTCTTGTGGAATATAAAGACGAAGGAGAAAGGCAAAGAGGAAGAAGCAGCTGTAATGAGAATAAAGTGCAAATCGTGCGGCGTTTTAATTGTTTTTACATTGCGTATATACCTTGCATTTAATTGTGGGCGAATTGTTTGCTTTTTCATTCATTTATTCCGCCCGCAATTACCTACCCTTTGCACGACGCGAGGGAGAAAGCTCGCGCCGAGAGGAAAGGGATTAAGTAAGACAATGATTACGACAATACAATAAGCGACCGGCGATGAAAACACTAGTACGCGCGGTAGTTTTCGAGGAGTGGCGAAAGGGGCGGAAAAAGGGTCACGAAGACAAAACCACCAACGCGCGCAGCACAAAAACGCCAAAGGACAATACTCAAACCAATGGACAATGAGTAATTTAATATCTTGCAAGGCGAACACAATGAGGAAATCACATTCGACCGTGTTAATACATTTTTTTGTTCTGTAGAACAGAAAAATATTTTTAAATTGGTTTTTTAAAGATTCCGGGGGTAGTTTTGAAGGTATTTTAATTATTTAAACGTGGGGTGGTAGATAATTAAATTCTGAAGGTGCATAGTGAAAGAATTTTGTTGTTTAATACATTTAAACATATTTTATTTTATGTTAAACATCAAATTTATAAATTGCTCCTTAACAAAAAAAAATGGAATTATTTTCACTTTGTATTTTAAATATTCTGAGGGTAGTTTTGAAGTTATTATAAAAATTTAACTTGTAAATTATAAATAATTAAATTGTCTACCAGATTAAACTAAGAATCAACTTTTTAGAAAACTCCTTAATGGTCAAATTAAGTATTAAACATTTAATTTGAAAATAATTTTATGAAGACGTTTAATTGTCTCTAATTTCTGTAATGTATATAATAAAAAAAAAGAAACAGGAACGTAATAAATAAGGCATAATTTGACTGATTTTTTTTGCTCGGTGAAAACATTTTTCCATATATAAATTACACTCGCTGCAATAATGAAGCATAATAAGCAATAAACAACGCAGCGACGAAACGAGCGCATATCTCATTGGCTGTCACTCGTTGATTGCACATTACGTTCATTATAATTTACTTCGTCGTCGAGTATTTTTCATTTTGTGCGCTCGCGCGCTCTTGTTTTTCCTGCTTACGCGCGTCTCAATAAGCGTAATCAATAAACGTGCTTATAACGCGCATAATGCCATCGCACACAACTTAATATACTATTCTATAGAGTAATGAGAGATAACTGGAGCATGTGCAAAAAAAACCACAACGCACGAGGCTTATTCATTAAAATTATTAAATGAATAAAATGAATTGAATGAATGAACGAATTCAATGTTAAACATTGTCTCGAATGCTCATAGAGAGATAATGAGAATTATTGTTGCATTTCGAACATTTTCGTAATCAATAAGTTTTGTTTTCCGGGGGTAATCAGGCAAATCGTCATGCGGGCGTTTTTCTAACGATCATCATTTCGAAGCCAACACGCCGTTGTCTTAGCGTCGTCGTTGATTTATTTCCAGCTCGTTTTGCGTCGATTCCGTCGTCGTCCTGTCATTATTGCGCTGGCATGTAAATGATGATGATTACAATTGGATCGACGCTTTGTTTCCCCCAGCGCGCATGTTTTTTGTGTTTTTATATTTGGACTGCGGAGCGTTTTTTGCTGTTTATTTGTAGCTGGCGAGCAGCACATGGAAAATAATCATGCGACGCGCGTCGATTGGATTTATTTATGGCGTGCTATGGATGTAATTCGCGGGTCGATAGGTCGCGATCGTCCGGCCATTAACGGACACTTGGACACTCGGGGACAAACTCACAACATTCTTCTTCTTTGCTTTGTAAAGCACTTTCTTATAGGCTATAGTTTAAATCGCCTTTGTTTGTTTACATGTAACACACATGTGGCGTCCATGTGTCTCTGGAAATATGTAGATAAAGAGCGTGTGCGCCGAGTAATTAGTAATTACAATCATTACAATTGCCGAAAATGTTTATGGCGCCGATTACGGACCCGTATTACGCCCGAGAACGGCCGTTTAGTGACATTTATTCGCGCTCGTAAATCACGCACTCGGAGAACAGCGACCGCAAATCGATTTTCTACTCAAAACTTCATCGCTGTTATAATCATTTGAATCGAACACATTTTTTCTAAAAAATTAGAATAAATAATTTGTTTGTTTTTAATATTGTATGCTAATGTAATTTTCTTTTTTAGGCATCCACTGTTTCCACTCCTAGCACTGATATTCGAGAAATGTGAGCTGGCGACGTGCACGCCACGAGAACCAGGCGTGGCTGGCGGTGACGTTTGCTCCTCGGAGTCGTTCAACGAAGACATTGCCGTTTTCTCTAAACAAGTAAGTCACAAAACTCAAAAAACACTTAATCTAATAGCCATTGAGGTTAAAACTGCTTCGAAACGTGACTGGATTAACCATCACATACAGTGTGTCATTAAATAACAATTTTGAAGCGTTTTCCGATTACAAAACTCGATAAATATTGATTTCCTTCAACGAGTGCTTACATGACATATGCACACATCGGCCTGACGTACGAATAATACAAAACTTCTCCGCACATGTCCCACGCACTCCACATCACACACAGTGTGTTGACGCATTTCTATAAATCGTTGATTTCAAGTACTGGCGTTTCGTTTTATTTTTTTCCGAGTGATAAAATCAGTTAATCGATAGCTATATGCGATGCGCAAACAAACGGTTTTCAAATCGGATTTGTTTAAATACATGCACATACACATCGCGTGTGTTATCACTTATCACAACAATAAACATTCAAAACTAACCAAAAAATACAACTGCTGCTACAAGTTAGTCAACTTGGAATGTTTGCTCACCGTTTGAGACCTGAACGCACAAGACACGACTGTGTGCGTGTGTGTGATTAGTGTTATCAGCGGCGTGAGATGATAACGGCGCGTAAAACACATGTTTTCGTGTAAATCTCTTATACATCAACTGCGTGTACTCTACTAGGTACACAGTGTATATAAATATAATACATACAATGTGTTCATGAAGAACTTGCATAGATGTATTCTGTGAATGTTGTTTTTGTGTACTTGGCATAAAACGTGAGCTTCGACGGGTAATATAAATCGAGCGCCATTAAAAATTAAAAACTTATCTAGTTTATTAAACATTAATGGCCCGCGAGATGGCCATAAGCGCGGCAATAAAAATCGTTGAGGCGTTAATAAATTATTCAATTTTCAAGAGTGTCTTGAAGTGCGACTCACTTGCGCCGCGCATAAAAAATCCCAAAGAAATCATCGCATACGTATGTACTACTAAAGTATGAATACCCGGAATTGTAAAAAGTCAGAAAGAAATCGTTAAACATAGGTTTGATAGTTGTAAGAAGGTATTACTTAGGGAACAATTAAAATAACAGAAATGAACAACGCTTTGTATTCTAATGAGCGATTGTGACGTAAGAAACAAAAAATTATGAAAGTATAACCAAAAAATTTCAGATGCTTATAGATTACTTTTGTAAACCTATAAAAAAATATCTGTAAATTAATTTGAGACGTACTTGAGTTAAGGCGTTCGGTTTGTAATTAAAAATTAGTTACATTAGTTACAATTAAGCCCTCATGCATTTTTAATGAACAAACAACCGTATTTACACGCGTTTACTTTGCCGCCGAGTGTGTGCACATCGAGCGCGTATTTTTTTTTATTTTACGGCCGGTCGAAATGTGTGTATGCAGCGTATTATTCACAAAGTACACTTGGCGCAAACTCGGCTCTCTCAAACTAAAATAAAAATACAAATTGCCGTTATAAAAATTTTATTGCGCATGAGCTACTATTATTTCAACATATTCGACATGGTTTGACTTAAAACAGAAGTGTGCAAAGTCTCAGAAAAAAAGCGTAAAAACGGTAGAAGATTCTTTGTTCACGTGTTATCAGCGCTCACTGTTGATGCAGAAGCTGTATGCATATATATGAGTAATGGGTAATGTTGATGTTTGCCGAGCAGTCACCTGTTATAATCTTTTTATGAATTAACAACCTGCTGTGTGGGCTTTCTCGTCATAAAACAATTACGATGGGTTTTCATATTTTCCTCAACATTTAGTCTGGTCTAGTTTCATTGACATTGAGTATTTTTGAGGTTAGGTTGAGAAGCGAGAAGAAGTTGAAAGGTTTGACAAGTTGTCAACAGGCTTAGGAAAATATTATGCTTTCGTGTGCTGCTGGTCTCGACAGAAGCAGTTTTCCTACGAAAATAAACACCATTTGTCGTTTCAGGTTAGGAAAACAATCAGAGTATACGTATACATTACTCAAATTGATTTCGAAAATATTTTTCTTGCTTGTTTTAATGAATGAATGAACGATGTTATCTTCTCGGCCATTTTGTTTCTGGTTGTAATTGTAAGTCGTGGGGTTTTGCTTCCTTGTAGGCTCGTCGTGTTTCCGCAATAAGTTATTATCGAATCATCCCTTCCGTTAGGTGCATTCAACACGACGAATGATTTCACCCCTTTGCTGTTTGCGTTTGTTGCGGCGCTGTCTCCACGTTAGGTCCGCTTGGCGCGTCCGAATAGGAAGATGCCGGATGGGATAATGGTCGGAATAAAGGGCGATTTCCTCTTATTATATTCGACTTGCGGAACGACGGCGGCAGCAGCAACAGCGAAAGGGTTGCGCTTACCCCCCGAGTACGTTTTGACTTTATAATTACTCATTTGCGATTCCCGAGTGAATGAATTCCGTGTTTCGGCTGCGGCTGGGGATGCCGCCGAATGGGGATGGATGTATGTCGGCCGCGTATGCAAAATACGTGTCAACCCCGTTAAATCAGAGGCACATGTCCTTCGCTTGTGTGATATGAATGCGAATGAGCGAATAGTGGGGCTGAAGGCAGCGCATGAATACGGTGTACATGTTTGTATTTTATGCATTTTATACATTACCTCGTTTCGTCGCAGATAGGTGGTGTGTGTGTGCCCAGGGGTGCAGCACCGCCGCCAACCCTTAGTTCTATTTTCGAGCAAGCGCTATGCGTCGAGTTTAAACGAATCATAATCGACGCATAAGTAAATTTAAGTGAATTTACACGTCGAGGGTAAAAACAACCCTTATTTTACTAGGGGTGGTTGCCGAAGATGGTTTGAGAGTTTTTGGCTGCCGCCAGCTGTCCCGGATCAACCAATCCGCAATCCACAATCAACACCAACACGCACTGACGTGCATACAGTGTGTGTTGATGTGAATAAATGCAAATAAATCGGATGAGAGTTTTGATGGACGTGCTGTGCCCGCTGGAGGTGAGGACTAGATGATGAGGGTATCACTCTCATCGATGGTGTGGTGTAAATGTATTCATTGCGGTTGATGCGCCCGCGTGCGTTTGTTATTTTTGCGGGTAAACACTGTAACCGGATTTAATCAATCGCAAAACATCCCGAATGATAATAGTACACTCGTTTATGAGGGATTTATGACCGTAAAGTCGACATAAATCAAACAGGGACAAATTTCTGATTTTTTGCTTTCTAAGAAGTTGAAAGTTTTTCGTTTGAGGTTTTTTTGGGTTGAAGTTTTCGATTTTAACGGTAACGGTATTTTAGGGCGCACGCCTCTAAACACCCCTAAAATAGACCTTTTACTTAGGCTTAGCGCAGATGTACAAAAATGTAGCAAACGAATTCTCAGAATTTAAACTCTAGAAATCCAAGGGAAACGAAACTAAAAGCAAAACTTTCAAAACACAATTTTGAAAGATACCTAGAAATGCCCTAAAAGTCAAAAGTTTTAAAATTAGATATATTCTAAATAAATATATATTTTACTCAAGTCACTGCAAACATGTTTTTTTCTTGCTTTAAAAATGTAATTCATGTGTGTAAATGTATAGAAAAATCTACAAATGTAGGCATGACAAGACACCAAACAAGATCCGAGCTGCGATTCGAGACACGCGGCGAGACAAGAAGATTTAAAAGAAACTCGTTAATCAAGTGCTTAAGTCACCAACCGCATTGCGCAATCAACCGATGAACGATCACTTTCGATTTTTATACATTTCCAACTGTTTTTGATTTTTTTTACGCCGCTCGACCAATTATACTTCTTGTGAAGTTGGCGATAAGAAATGTTCTTCCTTCATAAATTCTGAGTAGCCACAGATCCAGATCTGGTCGCTGGTCATATTGTGATTTACTCGCGCGCAAAACCACAGAGCACCAGTGCGCGCGAGTTGTGACTTAATTTAAGTTTCCAATCGCATTGGCGTTGTTTATGTGCGCCATGTGCAAAAATGTCGGCCTCGCAATCGCGCCATCGACGAGCGCGCGCGCGCGCCTCGCATATTTCTTTTCTTGGTCGTCGCTGGGAGAGATATAATATCGGCATGGCAGAACGGCCCAAGAGGTGCGCGCTGTTCGTAATATTAGCCTTTCGTAATATTCCCCATAAAAGTAGTAATTTACTTGTTGCAGTGAATTTATGACTCTGCGTTGTGACTTCGTGGCGAGCTGCGAGCAATCAGAGCTGAATTCTTATTTCTCTCTGAACAATAATACTGACTCTCCTACTTGTAGTGCAATGTTTGCACATCGTTTTCAAGTCGTTCAGCTATCAGTTTTTGAACAAAACGAGCTTTCAACTGCGGTAAAAGTGAGTGAAAACCAGTAAAACGCGATGAACATGGCTGATGTTTCAGGCCGCGGTTTACGACTTTGATAAAAATGCACTAAAATCGGAAAACGACAGGCGGCGGAACTTAAAAACGCGTAAAAACCACCTAAAACCACCCGAAAACAGGCATTTTTATGTCCGACCACTGTGACAGCGTCTAGAAATTAACTAAAACTTAACAAAATGCCTGCGCGCACATTTCATTACAAACATTCCTTTGTATCATTTTGTCACACTTTTACGACTTTACGACCTTTCGCCTTCCCTATATTTTTTATGTACGAGTTTTTCCATTCTGAGGTTTGGTTTAAATTAAAAATTATAAAAACATGATGCCTGGGTACGTATTGAACATGTATGCGTGTATGACGTGAACGTCAGTTAAATCCCTACCGAGAAAAAGTCATGGTGAGACGTGGTGGCGTCCCGCGGAGCAGCAGCGTCCACGAAATGCGCATCCAGCGCAAAATCCCTCGGCGGGGCGTCCGTTAACCACCTTTTACGGCCACCACCATTGGGTGCACTTATCTGACTCGCACGCTGCACACTTTCCCAATATGCATTGCGCTTTTATTGGCAGTCATAAGGTGTGTAAAATGCAAAATGAGCAACAAAAGCCCTGCAACAACTGACTTTGTGCGTTGGCCTTTTTCGCTAGCTTAGCCCTAAAGTCATAA